AAGGAGAAGATGTTGTTGTGGAGCAACATCAACGTCAACCCTTCAGTTCTGTCTGAAGGGTTTTCAGACAGAAGGGCTGACACTTGGATGGTCATTCCCTATTGGGATTATTCCCTTTTTAAAAAATCCTTTTTTTAACACGTGCCCAGCTGGCTCAAGAGCACAGGGCTGTTGGACACATTTCCTTTGTGCCATACATACCCACAGTGCTGAAATGTTAAAATACTGCTTATTTCTGTATTGAAATGCTTGAATGACCTAAGAAAATTTGTGTCTATGAAAAGTCTGTTTTCAAAAAGCTTTTCCCATTTTACTGGGAAAACTTGCTTTATTCACACATACACTGTGATGTGTATGTGTGACTGTGAACACACTTTACTATGACCACACTTTACTATGCTTTAAAGGATAAATTCACAGTCTAGTTATTTTCTATAGGACTATAAATCTGTACGGTTACACAGACTAAATATTCATGTGGGTACAAGCCTCTGTAAAGGCTAAAATTCTGTATTCCTATTGTCCATCCACAAGCTCTTGAACAAAGCAGAAACAGTTAAAAGAAAACGCCAACGATGTACAAATAGGTAACATGGACATAACACACATTGACAACATTCCATAAGACACATTTCAGTCTCAGAGAAGAGCACTACAGAGAACCACATGAGAAGCACATGCCAGAGGAAAGCCAAGGTGCCATGCACTGCAGCCCCTGTGGGTCACCGTGTCAGCAGCGATGTAGAATCTCAACTAGGTTACACCATGCGACTGTACATCTGCTACAATACATATGGCATGCAAAAGAACAGAGAAGGAAAAGAAAAAGAACCCTGATACTGGCCTTCCCTACAGTAAAATGTAAAGTTTATTTCAAAGTTGGCTAAGAAAACGTAATGGGAATGCAAGTTATTAAATCTGCCTTCATGCAACACTGACTATCCACTGGGGCAATGAGTTCCTCAGCCCCACTTTTTTTTCCCCTAGTTTACTGCACCCAATAAATATTCATCTGTTAGCAGATTACATCAAAAGGCAAAAATGTCCATGATCCTCCTTTTACCATTCTCTGCTACCACATTTTCTGACCAGTCAAAGCAGTAAAAAAAAAAAAAAAAGCGGGGAAGCCCAAAATCTTTCTGCGGTATGTGGTCAAACTGTCTTTCTCCCCCCACATATATATGCAATTAAAGGCAGGCACATACCACCCATCTTTTTGCCTTTTACCACCTTCAATTTTTTTAGTCTTCTAGTCTTTTGTTTGATAATGTAGCCCTTGTTCCTTGAGGAAGCATTTAATAAAAATCATTACATTTGCACTTTTCTTCAATTTTGTATCAGCCTGTGAAGATGCTTACATTTCTGGCAAACTCCTTCTGGTACAGTCATAGACTCTAACATGAAATACTGTTTACAAACTGCAGGGCATGGATTAAAGAAAAAATAATATGGTGATATCCATAAAATAACATTTCACATATATATTTGTTACATATTTGTGTGATGATTTCTGTTTAATTAAGTCACAGATGCTGTGCACTGGTGAATGTATGGTGATATAGAAGTATAGTGGCACAGAAGAGATGTACCCAAAATAACACTGCTCATACACAGGAAATTACTTATTTGCAAGTATTTTCAGAAGAGCAAAAGAAGGCAGAAAGAAAGAATATTAGCAGTGGTATCCCTGCCTTATTCTCATCTATTGCCCAACTATCCTAAAAGACAGGCAAGGAAACACAGAGCCAAAGGTATGACTGAGTGATGTATTAGTCTACTAATACCAGCAAGTTTATAAATTGGGGGTAGCAGAACACTTGAACCTAGCCTTCTCTGCATCCATCAACAAATAATTCAAGATGGAAATACAGTTTCCCAAACCTCATATTTATATATGATACTGAAATAGGACTGACAGCTTCACATGAACCTCATAGTCCAAAAGTGGTATGTAAAAAAGCAGCATCACAATTGCTACTCATCATCACTATCACACTGCTACTAGTCCCACTGGTTAGAGAGTGCTTTTCATTACACAAATGTTAAACTAGCTTAGAGGGGACACCACCTCCCTCCTTCCCTGGATGAAGAGAAAGGTGTGGAAGTGTGGAGGTACTCAGGACGACTTTGAAACGAAGCTGCTTATACAGCATTATTGATTGCAATAATGATTGCATAGTGAACACAAAGCAAAGAGTTCTTGTGTGAAGTGTCAAATAACTGCAGGCAATTATTTCCATACAGAATGGAAATGCATGTTGTGCTGTCACCCCATCCACATCAAATACAGTAATTTTCCAGTGAAAAATTGGTGTTCTTTTCAAATAGTAGCCATTCAGACCTTCATAGCTAGTTTGATGTTTTAAGCAAAATGTTGCTGGCATTCATATATGTGTGTATATATACACACATACACCCAGAGATCCTGGTGTGCAACTCAACCTTCTTTCAGTATTAGCTTTAAAAAAGCTATATCCATCAAGGAGAAAAAAAAAAAACAAGCAAAGGAAAAAGAAAGAAGTGCCCAAGCTAGCCCACAGCAGGTACAGTGAAAAGGCAGTAGGTTTCAGGGCAGCCACCTTATCAGTTTCCTCTGGTTTTGCTCCAGCAATCCATGGCATTGCAGTCCATTGTTTCTCCTTCCCAGGCAGTGTTTTCAGTTGGAAAATGTGGTCTCCTTTTTTCTATTTGGTTTTCATTTTATAAAACCAGTGTAAATCAACAAGCAATGAGACAGACACACACTATACATAAACATAAAACCAAACCATCTGAAAGTGACAGAACATACTAGATGATCTTAAAAAAACACAGATAAAATAACTTGGAGGGGACTCAACTTCAATACAAAGAAATCAACAAAGAAAATACACACAACCACATAATAAAAATTAAGTTACACTTTTACATAAATGTCTATTTTAAACGAAACCAGTATTTATAGCTATGCAATAAATGAATGTGTCATGAATACTGGAAAATACGACCAACATTTGTACCTATGCATATACCACCATGTGTAGAAATATTTAGGTATTGCTCAGAAATTTGAGGAATTTCTTGGCAGGAACCATAAATGAGCAAAATAGCCATTAAAGCAGTGATCCATTCAGTCAGTGATTGTGTTATCTGTATGCACATACTCACAGTTCAGATTGCTTAAGTATCTTACTGAAATAATGTCCTATTAACAAAAATTACTTGGTAGCATCAAGCTGCTTAAATGAAAGTTCACCTCTCCGTGGGCTGAAAAGGATACTTAAGAATTTAAGAGGATAGGACAACAATACATTTAAGGAGGGAAGGGTGGGAACCATGGTGATAGAAAAAGATAACAACACAACATAAACTGATTGTTTTTGAAGACTGATTTGCTCTTCTACCCTCTGAAAGAAGCAGCAAATAACCTAATAAAACTAAAAGTTTCAAAATAGCATGAGAAATTTATTTGGGCAGTTTTCTTGCCAGAAGCATTCAGGATGGTATTTGTAGAAAACTGTTTACCAGACTGTTGTTTCAAGGTTCATTCAGAAAGGAGGTATAGAGAAAAAGTAGATAAATTCATTTTACAGACTTTTGAAGATTAAGATAAGTAAACTTTAACAACTCCATTAAATGCACCCTAAGGAAGTAAACACTGTAAATTAACTGATCACATAAGGTCCTTCTGAAACAACACACAGTTTGTGTGTATTTATGCACAAGCTCCTATGAAGAGTTAAAGAGAGAGAGGAAAAAAAAGGGAAAAGTTCTACTGTCACTGAAAAGTTATTTCCATCCATCTCTGCAAATGAGTGAAATTTAAGATGTCCTTAACAAGAGGAAAATATTGCCATCGCTTCCATTTACTTCTAATTCAGTTGTTCGTGTAGAAGAATAGAATTCCACACACTCTTTAAAGTCAGGTCCAATAGCAAGTGGTAAAAAAGTTAATGCATACTTAGTATAAACAGATATTACATGAGACAAGTGTTAATCTAAAGGACAAACTGCATTTACAGTATGACATGAGGGTGGTATGGAAACGCACGGGGACAGGCGCCGGCAGTGACATACCCCTTGCGTCTGTAGGGACAGAGGTGTGATACGCCGCTTTTCCCACTCATTTGGGCGTGGCTCAGGTGTGGATTCCATGAAATTGCGCTTGAGTTCACTAATGCTAGCCTGGTGTTTCAGTAAGTCGTCCTGGGTCTTATCCAGGTCCTAGCAACCCGCAACATAAAACAAAGTAGGACAAAACACGACAACAAAAGCAAACTTAACTGGAAAAAAAGAAACAAAAGCAACCAAACCAAGCAAAGTGCCTTGTGTCTGAAGAGGTGATCTTCTTTGGAGCGCATTCAAATAAAAAAGTATAAGGCTATAAGGGACCAAAATTTGATGGTTTTGTTTTGGTAACAAAGGGCTTCTCATACCCTGTTTCTTCCATATTTTAAGGCATAAGAAAAATAATGTTGTTCATGGCTATTTAACAGAGGGCTACTTTTATCTGAAACATGAAACTACTACTACATAGTATTTTCCAGTAGCTGTTTGCTTTCAACTAAAATTTATAAGCACAGAAGCAAAGGTTTCAGGGTACTGCACAGCTAACATCACTGAAAGTAGCTGTAAGAAAGAGTCTAACCCAAGGAGCATTAAAAAAAATGCACCTTTCTGGAAATTACAAGCCCCATAAAAAATACATACTTCTGTGAACACAACATGGCCAAATGTGCAAGCAGCTATACCTGCTTAGCTTCAGAGGGACTACTCATTGTACCTCTCATGTAGGATTAAGCTTACTGGAAGAATCAGATTTAAAGACTTAAACCCTGTTATCTGCCAATTCCACACTGAAGAACCTGACAGCAGATACTACACTCAAGTAGGAAGAGGTTTTGTGCACACCAATACTGCAGAAATGTTCCCTGTAAATTGCACCTCCACAGGCTAGTGCCAAGGGACACCACAGTGTTAGTACCTCATTAGATTTTTTGGTGACCCACTGAGGCTAAACTGCAGCACCCTGCACCAAGTGACTACAGGTTGGTCTTTCA